TCCGTGTGCTAATCTCCAGTCTCTGGCCGCCTCACCCCACCCCCGGGCCCGCCGCCCGTCTCCGATCCGACGCCGTCGGCGGATTTGATCTCCGGCCTCACTCGGTTCTGTCCTTCGTACGTTTTCCGTTTGGCTCAGGGCTAGATCACTGCAGGCCCGAGGTGTCCAGGTGGGAGAGAGAGAGAGTCCACGCCTTTCAGAACGATGCAGGCGCCTGGAGACGCTCCCCTACCTGCCCGCTGCCCTCAAGATCTCCTTCGTGAGTCACGGGTTCGGAACTCCCCCAGTCTGTGATTCTAGTCGTTAGTGAGGGAAGCTTTGGGATTCAAAATGAGAGAGAAGGATTCTGGAAGTTTAGGGTTCCTCGCAGGGAGGCGAGAGGGCCGAGCACGGGCGGCGGGGCCTCCCTGCTCACCTCGCAGAGACCAGAAGAACCCTTCAGCCTGTGCCGGGCACCAGCACCCGGAGCGCGGAGGCCGGGTGAGCAGCCAGCCCGCCACCCGCTGCGCCGCAGATTGCGCGCAGCCCAGAAGCTCCCCTGCTCGCCGCGCCTTCTCCTGGCCCGTAGCGCTTCCTATCAACCCCCCGCAGGCCCAGCATCTCGGGGCCTCTCCCAGCTCCGTGTACCTGAAGAGGTAGAACGACAGATCACCCCAACTCCTCGCCCACCCCGCAGCAAGGTTCGGAATTCCGGGCTTTCCGGATCGAGCTGCCCGCCTGGCCCAACCTGCGGCCTCTCTGCGCAGAGAAACAGAAACAGTCAGCGCCATCGAGTCGAATTCTGACTCATAGCGCTCCTACAGAGACCCTCATTTGTATGCAGCCCCAGCCCTGGGCGGCCCCGGCCAGCCTGGTCCGCTGTCGGGGTCCCGAAGCTCCGCTCGCAGCCGGTCCGGGCTCGCCCAGGACCCGAGGCGGTGCCTGCCTGGGAACAATTCGAATTCCCGCTGGCCCAGCGGACGCTGCCGCCGGCACCACCCACTAGACGCTGCGCTTTCTCTCGCTCCTGGTTCCTCTTCCAAACCACCCCTCCACCCCAGGACTCTGATTCGTGGGGCCTGTCCCTGATTAAAACGAGTCATCTCTTAAAAGCAGGGATTCCTGAACACTAGCTCACCGGGAGTACATTTCAGGGGACTGGGGTTGGCCACCAGGCCTGGCTAAATTGTTTTATCCACCCCAGGCCCAGCGTCTGCACAGCCCGGGACAAAAGCCCGAGCTAAATGCTATTTGGCTTAGATCAATGCTTTCATTTATAGCTCCCCTCAAAGATTCTGGAAGAACGTCTCTGGATTGGCATGGCTGTTGGTGTTGGCTGCGTGAAAATGGGGCGTGTGACTTTGAAAGAGGAGGAAGTCCAGGAGCTACCTGCTTCCCTCCCAGAATTGTAGCATAGGGGTGTGGTAAGAAGCAGGTATCAGTGCTTGGGGCTGGTGCAGCTTCTGTGAACCCCTAGCCTGCTCACTGGGGGCTCTCGGGGCCTTTACCTCAAGGAGAAAGAAGGCTTTCCCGAAGCTTGCATGGGGTCAAGTCATCCCTCTCCCAGAAGTGGCCGATTCACCAAGTGTCC